ACTAATATAGTGCCCAAGCCTGATCCAGTCAGCTACATCTAGGAGACCACCGCCTGTAGTACAAATATGGCTCCTCAAGATATACCCCTATGGCTTGAGGATGCCAGTTTCTAAAAAAGGAAGAATCATTGTGAGCTGGGCAGATGCACTGAAAACTGTCCACTCTGGCTCTCTACAACTAGGACAAGTATGACATTCTGACTCATTTTGTTTGGTTTGTTTTGCTTTAAAATATTTAATTATTTTACCCTCTGGAAAGCATTTCAGTGTATGAGGTGAGAAATGAAACTAAGTCACTTATTTTCCATAGCGTAATTAGTGTAATCCATTTGTCCTAACGCCCGTGTACTGATAATTGAAAATATTTCTGGAATCTCTAGGCTATTCCATCCATCTGATTGATTTACCAGATTCCTGACATGGCTGTGAGAAGACTGGAGGTTTAACTTCCAACCTGAGTTCTAGAGCATGGTTACCCCTCGCTTTATTCCCTCCTCTAAGAGTTTTATATATGGCTGGAGCATCTAATTACTCAACTTATTTTTAGGGGGCAGGAGGTGGGGCTTTCAAATTTTTCCTAACCATTTTAGATTAATGGATCAGGAGAACTCTTGTGGTGGAAGAAACTGTGCCCTCTCTGTGTCCCCTTTTTGAAACTAGTCCCTGACACTGTTAACATATCTTGTCTCAGGGATGGGGACACATCAGAAAAACCAAAGACTGGCCTATTAAACTTTGTAATAAATACATGTGCCTGATACACAATAAGCACTCAATAAATGTTAAGTAATTATTAGAACGAAGGCCAAATAACACCTACTTCAAACTCTTGCCAGTATCCAACAATTGCTTATTCCTACATCTCCCCACCTTAAGTCATACATGAGAGTGGGAAAGGATCTGGTAGGCTAAATAATGGCCACCCCAAAATGTCCATGTCCTAATCCCTGAAACCTGCATGGTAAAAGGGGTTTTATAGATGTGGTTAAAATGAGAATCTTAAAATGGGAAGATTATTCTCGATAATCTGGATGGGTCCAATATAATCACAATGGTCTCATCGGGGGACATAGGAGAGTCACAGAGAAAAAGGAGATGTGACCACAGAAGCAGAAGTTGGAGTGATGTGCTTTGAAAGGTGGAACATGGGGCCAGGCACCAAAGATTGCAAGTGGCCTCCAGAGTTGAAAAATGGATCTTCTAGAGCCCTCAGAAGGAACTCAGTTCTGACATACCTTGTTTTAGCCCAGGGAAACCCATTTTGAACTTCTGACTTCCAGAACTGTAAGATAACAAATTTGTGGTGTTTGAAGCGACTAAATTTGTGGTAATTTGCTACAGCAGCAACGGAAAACGAATACAGAGGGGATCAGAATTTCATTGAACATTTTGCAGAACTGGCACTCCTGGACTCCAGTCCTTGTTTAAATTGTAGGGTTTGAGGCCCTACTACAGAACCTAGTGGTACCTTTCTTGCCATGTCACCCCAACCAGATTTTCACCATCCTTCAAGCCTTTTCATTTCTATCCATCCAGCCTGATTTCCACTGCCCCACCAATCTTCTTCCATTTACCTACCTCTGAACCTAGAGTTAATAGCTGTTCTAAGATACTGGTGTTAACCCCACATGCTTGAAACTAGGGTTATTAAAAACATGGAAATCCAGGGAGCAAATTAAATTGAAACATGACATAACAATGAAAAAAGTCCTTTAAAAATTGGGGCTTTTTTTCCTCCCAGCATCAGGCCAAAGAGAAAGCAAGCTAGAGAGATACTGAGAACCAGAGACACTGTGAAACAATCTAGCTAGAAACACTGAACCACAATACAAGCTTCTGAACATTTATTTGCTCAGGGTGTTTTAAGACCTAGGGCTTGGGCAGAAATTCCTGATGCTTTGTCCAAGCCCAGGAGCCTAGATACTGAGAGATAGTAGAGACTTAAGTAAAAATGTGGCTTGGAGTTTAAAAAATCTGGATTTGAATCCTGGTTCTGTGGACCACCATTTTTGGTTTCTTTCTCCAAGAGGCCCTAAAAGAGCCCCATGTCAGGTGTGCTCCTCAAAGGCCAGTGAACTGAGAGGACGCATCACCCCAATTCGTACCCCAAAACACGGCCTCTGGGTCTGCGTCACCAAAACAAGAAAAAGCATAAAACGCAGGTCTTTAGCACTAAGAAAGCGTGCTTTTTTTACTCTCCTGCCCCAGAATAAAAGGCCCTTACTTTTCATTTTTTATTTGTGATGATTTTGTTTTTTCTTTCCGTTCTGTTACTAGCTGGAACTAAATGTTGGCCGCGGCCCCAGGCGGCTGCTGGAAAGGCGCCCTCCCAGGAGCAGAAGGCTCGCCTCGGAGAAACCGGGGGCGGGGGGAGAGCTCCGCCTCCGCCTCCCCAGCGCGGGAGGGAGCCTGAGTCTTTCCTGGGCCCCCTAGTCGGAGCCCCCGGACAGCAGGGCGGGGGCGAGAAGACTTCGGGGGACACTCACGGCGCAGTGTGGCCGCGCAGCCCAGCCCCCAGCTCCTCAGGGCTGCGGGCGGAGGAGCGGGTTCTGGCCGCGAGAGGACCACCCA